GAAAAGTCGACAATGGTCCGGTCTTCCTATGTTCATCAATTTTCAGATGATTGATTCTAAATTTTCTCGAAAAATTTGTAACATGTTAAAAAATGTGACAATTCCAACTACACTGCAGTCATCTTCAATAACCCAAACGTAATTAACTCGATGTGCAATAGCCTGTACCATCACTGCCACCAATGAACTTCCCGGATGGCACACTATTTCCTCTGCCCTTCTCACCATTTGTGCCGAGTAGCTGCTCGATCGGCTATATCGTCCTGACTTCGACATCACTGTTGTCCTCGGGGATGGTAAATCATTGTCTAATGAAGCGATATGAGGCTCACAAGTAGTGGTCATGAATTTATCCAATATTTTCTCTAAATTTCTCTCCTTCAATCTTGCCTCAACAACCCTCGAGATTTCCTGGGCGGGATCTCCTCCACAGTCAATGTAGGCCATGAGCTCTCCGGCAGAGAGGGTAGCTATGGCGGCCGTCGCCGCCGTGCCACAGGCGGCGAGGGTGGACGGAGAGATCTCACCAATCAAAATCCCATCATCATCAACCACTGCCACTGAAGTTTGATCCAAAAGAGAGCGATAAATGGCCCCTCCGGCCGAAGCTGCCGGGGAATGGGAACCAATGACCAAGAATTCAGTGCTGATTATGCCAAGACTGTCAATTGAAAGCGTCGGAATTGGGGAGAAAAGCCCAATTGAACAGAGAAGGAATCTAATCACATCTTCTAGTGTTAGCCAGCAGAATTCACAGACATTGTGAGTTGTTGATGATGGTTTCTGTAGTTGTTTTCTTATTGAATTGCTCCTTATGGGGACAACAAGATTTTGAGCACCTTGGAGCATCAGATCGATCACTTCAAGTAAACTGCAAAAATAGTAAGTTTCTTGGTTATATCAAAGAGGATCTAAAAGCTTAAGCGGTGGAAAATACAAACATTTTAATCTTATGTTCAAGAATTAAGTAAAATGAGACAACCCCATATTTAAAATTTCAATATTTTCAAATAATAATAAAAAATGAAAATCCATGGAATCCAGAAGATAGAAACAAACAAGAACCAGAGAGAGAGAAGAGTCATCCAATACCTAGAAGAGGGTTCCACGTGCTTAACCAGTCCCTTAACTTTTGACAGCAAAACAGAAACAGGAGATTGAAGAACCAAAGATGGAGATAGCAAATTCTCTTCTTTACAAAGATAATAAATTATATCAACCATACAGATTTTTCCAACACAAACACAGTCATTACTGTTTAAATTGCCCTTTGAGTGATTACAGCTCCATACGCTGATGAAATTATCCTCAGAACCCTTAAGAGCGGCCACGGCATCGCCGATTGTGGCTGAGATGGAGAGGGACGGCAGCGACGGCTTCCCAAGACAGAGATCAGCTACCTCGTAAGACAACAAACGAGCCGCCATGCAAATTCAGAACAAAAATTGGCAACCTTATAATGTTTAAGATTCAAGTAGAAATGAACGGCAGGAGTGTGTCTGTGTGTGTGAAGTGATGGTTTTATTTGGCTAGGTCAGGCGTGTATTTATAATTAGAAGGAACGGTGCAAGAAGCACCAAAGTCGAGATGGGATCCATATATTTGTTAAAATATATATTTTATTTAAAGTAATGTTATTCAACATCAGTGGTATCAAGCATCTGCTTAGATAACAATTATATAATATTAAATGATAGATTCATATAAATGCAATGTCACGTAATTCATTTAATTGAACATATTAAGTGTAATCATCTAGATAGATACTCTAGCACCACTGAAACTAAATAACATTATTTTATTTTTATAATATAATGTTATGCACCCATATCAGAGAGTGTTTGATGAGAATTAAAATTATATTTTTTGGTAAATTGTAATAAAAGTTTTTGAAATGTTTAGTTAAAAAGTTGTGGGACTCATAAAAGATGTGGTTAATATTGATTATTTAACTTTGACTTAAATTAAAATCAAACTTTAATCCAAATCAAACATGCTCCCAAGCTAGTTGACACCGAGAGTACATCTTTAATTATCCAATTTGAATTCCAGCTTCATTGAGCAACGTGGTACTTCAATGTCACGTACATGAATGCTAAATACAAACATTATCAGCAGCATTTACTCTTTTTATATAGTCTAATCTTATTAATACATAACGTTGGACTCTATAAATTTCTTTGATATTTTAGAGACTTATAATTTGAAAAAAAAAATAAAAAAATTTATTTTATCGTATGCGATGGTGTATCATAATTAAATTATCTATTATAAGTTTTTATTATTAATGTAATTACTTCTTAAACAATATTAGAATATTATAACTTATGAAAGATTACTTTTTCAAAGATACAATCTTAACAAAAATCTTTTTTTTTTTTTTGG